AGACTTTTCTCTTGCCATTCCCTAAATAATATAGTACAACCATTTCCATAGCATTTACATTGTACTAGGTATAAGTAGTCTAGAGATAATTTAAAGTACATGAGAAGATGTGTAGTTATATGCAAATACCATGACATTTATATCAGGGACTTGAGCATCCGAGGATTTTGGTGTGCACAAGCAGTTCTGGAACCAATCCTTTGGAGATATAGAAGGATGACTGTATTTTAAGAATTTGTGGATATATATTCATAAAGGATGTTGGTGTGTGGTTGTCTTTTCCTTGTGGTGACTTTGTTTGGTTTTGGTATTAGAGTAATACCGGTCTTAGAAAATAAGTTTGGAATTATTTCCAAACGCCCCCTTTTTTCCTTTTGAAAAACCTTTGAGAATTTGGTATTTTTCTACAAAATCTTGGTATAATTAACCAGTGAAGCAATGTTGGTCTTGACTTTTCACTGTGGGAAGTTTCAGTTGCCAATTCAATTTCCTTGTCATAGGTCTATTCTAATTTTCCAATTTTTGAGTTAGTTTTGGTAGTCTGCATCTTTTCAAGAATTTGTCTATTTCATCTGTTCTCTAACCTGTTGAAAGATAGTTGTTAGGTTTTTTTTTTAAACTCCTTTTTATTTGTGTAAGATTGGCAGAAAAGTCACTATTTTCAATTTTCACTAATTTGGGTCCTTTTGATTGCTAGTTAAAAATTTCTTTCAAAGAATCACAGTTTAGTTTTTTTCTCATTTGTTCTTTGTAAAAGATGAAATAAATTATCTATGCCTATGTCTACCTTAGCTTCAGTTTCTTTTTTCCCAGTGTCCAGAAGTAGACGTTACATTTTTGACTTGAGAGTTTTCTTTTATGTAGGTATTTACAGTAAATTTTTCCCTTGAAAGTTTGCTTTAGCTGCATCCTTAAGTGTTTGTATGTTGTCTATGTTTTCATATCAAAGTATTTTCAGGTTCCCTAGTGATTTCCTTGATTAAGTAGTTTTTAGTAGGGTATTTTTCAATTTCTACATATTTGCAGAATTCCTTACTTTCTGTTCTAATTTCATTCTATTCTAAGAAGAGAACATACTTAATATGATTTCAGTCCTTTAAGTTTATGGAGTCTTGTTTCATGGCCTCACATATGGTCTGTCCTGGAAAATGTCCCATGTGCGCTTAAGAGCCTGTATTTTACTATGGTTGATTGGTCCGTTCAATAGATGGCTGTTTTATGATTGGGCTTATAACATTTTTCAAGGCTTTCCTTTCCATTTTGGTCTGTCTACTTGTTCTGTTATTTTTCTTGTTTGGTATTTTTAGTTTATTTACTACTATGGATTCATGTTATCAACCATTGTTATCTCCTTATTCCTATATGTTTTTATCCCTATTCATTTCTTTTGTGTTATGTTTACTAAATATATCACATTTATGATAGACTAATTATTAGCTATCTAATGTTTAATTCAGTTGCTTTTTCAGTTAATATAAGAAGGGAGAAACAAGATTATTCATTGAATTTTTTGTTGTTGTTTTGGTGGGACTAGAGCTTGAATTTAGGAGTTTGTGCTTGTAAAGCAGGTGCTCTACTGCTTGAGCCATACCTCCAGTCCACTTTTTGCTTTTGAGATGAGGTCTCATGATCTATTTGCCTGTCCTGGACATGAATTGAGATCCTAAGCATCTCAGCCTCCCAAGTGGGTAGGATTCCAGGTGTGAGCCTCTGGTGCCAAGCTTAGTTCATTGAACTGTTAAATTGTATATTACCTTTACTAGTGTGCTTTGCTTTTTAGCATGGATTAGAATTGCTGTTTGGTGTTTATTTCATTTACATTGAAGACCACCTTACATTTATTGTAAAATGAATCTTCTGGCAAAGCATTCTCTTTATTTTCTATAAATTTTTGAAATGTTGGTTTTTCAGGTTACAAATTCTTTGAAAGCTGTTTTCTTTCTTTTTTTTTTTTTCAGCAATGACTTGTCACCCTAATGCCTTCTGCTTTAATTATTGTTGATGAAAATTCAGTTGTTGATCTTATCATAGGTCTCTTATTAACAGTAAATAATTTTTTCTTTGCCTTTGGCTTTTACCATTTTACTATGAGTTATTTAGGCATGGATTTCTTTGTATTCATTTTGATTAGAGTTTATTTTGCTTCTTGAATGTATAGACTCTTCCTTAATTTTGTGAAGTTTTCAGTCATAATTGAATGTTTTTTTGCCCTTTTCTCTCCTTTCCTTATGGCACTTCCAATACCAAATTGGTGGTGTGTATTCTCTAGGCTGTGTTCATTTTTCTTTTTTCTCTGTCTTTGACTTGGGTTATGTCTATTAATGTAATGTTCTGTGCCAGTTCAAATTGAGCTTCTCTAGATAATTGTTTAGTTAGTATGCTTCTCAATTTTAGAATTTCTATTGTAAAATATCAATATTGATAGCAATATCGATATTGTCCTTATACCTTGCATACCTTGCTTTTCTTCATGTATAACTTCTTTTAGTTCTTTAAATGTGACATACAATAGCTGATTTGAAGTCTTTATCTGCTTATGTCTGAGCTCTGTCACAGGCAGTTTCTGTTGCCTGTTTCTACAAGTTCTCCCCTCACCCACACTTTCCTCTTTGTATGAAATTTTTGTTAACAAAAAAAAATTTTTTTCAGTTCTATTAATGGTTTCTCTACTTTTCCAAAATTTGTTGTTTGTTCATCTGTTTGTGACTTGGCTGGTCTATTTTAGTAGAGTCTTTTTTTTTTTTTTTTAAATACAGAAAAGCTTCTGATGTCCCTTCTCAGAGGATGGAAACTTGAACAAGTGTAGTCACATTGTAATGGCATTGGAATGATAAGAATCTATTTGATCATCTTGGTCTCTGATCTTGGTTGTACTGTCTGTCTCTATTGCCATCACACACTAGCTTGCCTATAGTTTAGCTTTTTTCTTGTATAGATTCCAGGTTCCTTTTAATTGCTTGCCATGATAATCTCCTTTTTCTAAGAATGTACTTAATTTTAAATTTCCTTGTACTCTTTTCCAAATACACTGAGTTTTCTTGGAGAGCTTCATAGATCGCTATTCTTAGATTCTTCTTCTCCTTCTCTGAAAAATCACTTCTGCTGTGGAGCTATGGGTGAGAGTAATGTCCTGTCTTTTGGAATGACACTCATAGGGCTGGTGGAGTGGCTCAAGTGGTAGAGTGCCTGCCTAGCAAGTGTGAGACTCTGAGTTCAAATCCCAGTGCCACCAAAAAATAAATAGAATGGAGTGACACCCATACTTCAAGATGAGGTATTGCATGAAGGCAGTAAAAGATCTGTCCTCTTGCCCTTCCTTTCTGAGCATAAAAACTTTGCACTGCATATCAGTTGGTGAACCTCTTGACTGCTCTTGCTGAGGCTTAAACCTCTATACCATGGTGCTGAGGGAATGAGATCTACAGATGCTTTACCCCTCCCATTGGGAGCTGAGAAGAGATGGAGCCCTGTATCTTTAGTTCTGCCTACCCCAAGTAAGGCTTCTGTCACACTGAATTGGGGGGTGGGGGAATGTTAAATAAGAAAGAGGTCATGGCTCAAGTACCACAATCACATTTTTAACCCCAAATTTAGAAGATTTTCTTGAGTAAGTGTTCACCTGCTGAATATCCTTGAGAACATTCCCAAAGGCTTTAAATGGCATTTAAAAAAACACCTTTCATTAGTTGTGCTGTGGTGGAAGTTTGCAAAGCTTCTTCACCCTGCTATTTTGGACGTCTCATGTTCTCTCTCTTGTTTCACTTAATGGCCTGGCATACAATTACAATAGTATTATAAGTAGTTGCAATGGAAATTTAAATTTTTTCCTTAAAAATCTTGCATCTTTGGGGTTCCATGTGTGTTTATCTTCTGTATTACCTTCTAACCCTTTACTAATAGGTGTTAGGCTTGACCAATTGGACTTGCTCTCTTCCACTTTTTACCTAGTTGGACAATATTTCCTCTCACTCCCAGCTGTCTCTTTTTTGCATTTATGCCTAGGTTCCAGATTTCCATTTGATACACTGGAAATGGTGATGCATTTTGTAAATTGTCCCCCTGGCTCATGTGTTAGCTTTGATTTTCAGCCAATCCCTTGACTTTTGTAAACTAGCATGCAGACTATCTTGCTCAGATGTTAGTCTCTTCAAGAGCACACTTGTTCTATTTGTGCATTGGTTTCATGTGCAATACTCATGTAGCAATTGTGTGGAAGAAATATTTTGAAGTCAATGTAAGAAGATTTGGTTAACTGTCTACCACAGAACCTTGTTTTAAGGCAATTTTTACAAATGGGACCTTATTAAAAATAAAGGGAAAGATTGACAGTTATGAATGTGTTTTTTTAAAATTAAGTTTAGATTCAACTATTAATGAGAGCATTTCATCATTGTAATGAAAATCAATGGCTATATTTTCCAAGGAATTGTTGCATGGACATTATGCTTAAAAGGAACTGTTTTTCAAAGGAATTAGAATAAGACATAAATTCATTATATGACTTGTTTAGTCTCAATTTGAGGATCTTGGGAGTTTGTTTCTTTAATTATTTAATGTGTAAATACAATGTTCTGAAGGCCAACTAATTAGTAATATTAATTTTCAACTCATTTCAAAATTGTCTTTCCTGTTTTCCCTCTTTAGGGAAATGCTAAATTTCTATCTTTTGGGAATACCCAATTTTATCATTTTAGCATCCCTTTGTAGTATTTGACTTCAGTGACTTATGATGAGAAGAATTTTGAACCTGCAATGAAAACAATAATTTCTACCTTGGAGTGTATGAAATAATAATACTGTGAAATTGATTTTTGATCTTATATGATGATTTGACTTATGAATTGAACAAACATTTGCTCAGATCCTTTCTTGAGATGGCTTGTTGTGGTATGAATAAGATCTGTGTTTGAAAGTGAGATACAGAACTTACAGTTTTTATTTTAAATGCTCTGTAGGCAAAATAAATGTGCTATTTTTTTGTTTGTTTGTTTGCTTTTTAGGCAGCAGGAGCAATTCGACCTCTTGTATCTACTGTCATCAGTCCTTCTGCTGATGGTTGCTTAGACCACTCACTAGAACGTGCCAGATACAGAGCAAGTGAAATGCCACAAGCTTTTCTATTTGATGTGATTTATAAAGCATATCAGCAGGTAAGAATTCTGGGTTTTTGAAAAAGCTGTTATTATATTGTGGTATACTCAAACCAAGTCCATATTTGGAGAATTTCTAGAAAAACTCACGAGATTCAGCATATACTTAGCATTGTCCTCCAGGCTAAGATTTATTACAGTGAAGTAATAAGGATATGAGACTGGATCAGAAGAGAGAGGTAGGTCAAGTCTGGAGGAATCCATTTGGAGCCTTTGTTATGCTTTTTCCCTCAGCTGAAGGGTCAAACAAAGCATGCCCTTCCCCTAGGAATGAAAATATAGCAACATGTGTATAATGTTCCTGCAACATAAAACCTGTCAGAGACTCAGCATCCAAGGTGTTTATTGGGGTTGGTCACATAGATGTCTTCTGGCAAGCACATACAAAAATTTCACATTCTTGGAAAGAAAGCAGATGTTCAGCACAAACAATGCAATTCATGCTGATAGTTTGGGCACAGAAAACTACCCCTATCAGTTAACTTCCAATCATTGGCCCAGGGCCTACCTTATAAATAGGTTTTCTTCAGATAAATATAAATAGGTTTTCTCAGGCCTGCTTTGGTAAATTGTGTGCATAGCTGTTTGGACATCTTAATTAAAATTGTAGCTAATGATAAGTTTTTAAAAATGTCAAATATTTGTTTTTACTGGAGTACCTTTGTTTTTCTTTTGTTTGAAAACACTTCTGTAACTATATAATTTTACTGCCATTTGTTTGCCTATTTAAGTAGGCAGTTATTGAATGTCATGTATTGGCTTATTAGAAATTTCTCAATGAAATAAATTAGCACAATTAATTCAGTGCTTGACTAATATTAGATAACCAGTAGTTTGATACAGATAGACTTCTAGGATTACAAGACAATGGCAATACTGACATTTATACTAGAAGAACTTAGTAGATATAATTAGGATGTATCTGTATTAAATTATTAATAATCTTAAAACCATTAGTTACTGTTTTAAAATGAGATTGATTATGTAGAAATTAATTCTAATAAGGATAGTCCACAGTGTTTTGCATTTTCTTTAAATAATTTGGAATATAAGGATTTACTTTTGGAATTTGGTCATTAATTGTATACACATTATACAATTAATTTATTCTAAAGTTCTTCAAGTTTTGAGGTCAATATATCCTATATCACAGAGTAAATCTTGCTGAGCTACATATACTCAGTCTGCTGTATTTCTGAGATCAATGAATTTTGTGCTTTCATATAAACATTTATATACTGTTATGGTTTGAATATGAAATGTATTCCACAAGCTCATGTGTTTAACATTTGGTCCCCAGTGGGTGGTGCTAATTTGGGAGGTGGTGAAAACTTTAGGAGGGGGACTTAGTTGGAGGAAGTAGGTCACTAGGGAGTGTCATTGGGGATGCATTTTGTCCTGGCTCCTTCCTGCATCCTTTTCTCTGCTTTCTGCTCTGCCATGATAAACTGAAACCTCTGAAATAGCAAAATAATCCTTCCTCCCTTAAGTTGTTCGTGTCAGGTTTTTATCACAATTGTCATCTTTACCTAAAAAATTAGCTAGCGTTTGTTGCCCTCAACGCAGAGAAACTAAAGCAGATACCTTAAAAGCAACTGAGGCCAATAGGAAAAGGGGAACAGGTACTAGAGAAAAGGTTAGATCAAAAAGAATTAACCTAGAAGGTAACACCCACGCACAGGAAATCAATGTGAGTCAATGCCCTGTATGGCTATCCTTATCTCAACCAGCAAAAACCCTTGTTCCTTCCTATTATTGCTTCTACTCTCTCTACAACAAAATTAGAAATAAGGGCAAAATAGCTTCTGCTGGGTATTGAGGGGGGGGGGAGAGGGAGGGGGAGGAGTGGGTGGTAAGGGAGGGGGTGGGGGCAGGGGGGAGAAATGAACCAAGCCTTGTATGCACATATGAATAATAAAAGAAAAAAATAAATAAAAAAAAAACAATTGTCATCTTTATGACAATTGAGCAACTTGGAATGTAGTTTGAAGCCTTTGTATTCTGAATGTATTTGAAGATAAAATTGGGAAAATTAGCCTAGTAGATCATACAAAGGTTATCAAAGGTAGGGAAGAGTGGCAGTCCTAAAGATCTGCTCTGAAAAACTAGAATACAGTTGTCCTTTTTAGAGATGAAAGAAAAGGTTTTGTGGGAGCATATTTGAAATTTAGTTTTGATATACTTAGGATGAGATTCCTTCTAGACATAAAATTGCAAGTGTTCAGGAGAGGTGTAAGAGGGACTTAGACCTTTTTGTTAAAAGCTTAGATTCTTCACTTGGGCCTGCAGATGCAGGCTAAGATTGAAATATCCTTATTTTTGTTTTGGTCTCCTTTATTGCCTTTTGGGTCAGATTCCTGCTCAACTTGGCCCATAGGCACGTTAGTCATTTGAGGAGTGTTTATTTTAGGCTGGTAATCTTCTCCCTTTAAGGCCAAATAGGAGAACCTTTCAGGTAGATCACTCCATGATGAACCTCACTAAGCAGGAGAAATCATGACTATTTCCCTGACTCCATGGTCACCGGTCTGATAAACATTCTGCTAAGCAAATGGAGATTGCCTACTGAGCAGTAGCAATTTCCTGAGCACCAAATGTAAACTTCCCTCTACCCTAGCAGTGGTAAATTCCTTGACACTGATAAGCTCTGTGTGACCAGAACTGAGATAATGATCAACCAGAGCACAGTTTGACAAAGACTGTTTGTGCATACTTCTTGTTCCCATTCCTTTTGTCATTTTGAAGCTCATGTCAATATGTCAGCACCCCAGAAGACAGGGCTGGGATGCTTGATTCCTTTTGTCTTCTTGATATAGCAACAGTGATTAAATCCTTTCCTGTCTTTGACCATAACTCTTCTGTTTGATTTCTGGGATCAGTAGCCAGACCTAATTTGGTGGGATGCTCTAAACTGGGGCCCACTATGACCTGCTTAGATATATAAATCTAGAATTCAGTGGATAGGTTTAGCTAGAAATATATATTTGGGAGTTGTCATCATGTAGGCATTTTAATGCTTTGGGGTTGGTTGAGACTATCCAATGAATAAATGCAGAGAAAGTGGAAGAGAAGCAAAGGGTAAACCAACTTTTGAGGTTGGGCAAGTATATTAGTTTCCTATTGTTGTTTGTAATAAATGACCAGAAACTTAATGAGTTAAAACAACACAAATTTATTCTCTTACAGTTCTGGATATTAGAAGTCTAAAATTAAAGTATTACAGGGCTGTGTTACTTCTGAAGGCCCTCAGGGAGCACTTTTTCCTTATCTTTCTTCTTTTGGAGTCTACTTGCACTACTTGTATGGAAACCTCAGTTTTGTACCATAGGCCCAAAGTGTTGGGCTTTCCCATGTCAGGTCTGGCCACTTGTCCCTAAACACCAAAAGGAGACGTGGGCTCTCAGCCCATCTCCAACTGTCTTCAAGGTATAGACATGAGTTGTATGTTTAAATAGGCAAAGAATGACAAAAGGTGTGCATAATTAAACTGTCCCAGTCATAGGTATGGTCTCATTTGTCATTATCCCTTACAGGTGAAGAGTAGATTTTTAAGATGGATGATATAACATAGCTTATTGGTATGCTGATGGAGATGATTAAGTAGAATATCATGCTGGAGTGAGGGGGATGGGACCCACTGTAATACTGGTGTTAAAGTTGACTTTGGTTAGAACCTTGGTTGATCTAGTTCATATATAGATAGAGGGGAAAGGTAGTGTGTGTGGATACAGATGCAGATGGACTAATGGATGTGGTGGGAGAATTGGAAATTCATTTTCTTGTTTTTGTAGGTCACCACTGAGAATAGGAGAGATGAGTGATATATGGACGCTTTGGGAAAGAAGAAATTTGAAATAAAAACATCATTTCATTCTTATAACACATATATACATATATACATGTACCTGTATACACACACACACACACACACACACACACACATATAAAACTGTTCCAAGGACATAAAGTTTAGGTATGTTTGGGGGATATTCATGGCAAGCTGTGATAAAACTTTTGATTAATAAAATCTACAAAGTTACTGAATGGCTCACTTATTTATGTGGCCTTGAGATATGGACTTATGTTTGCTTTTTATCAAGGTGAAACTGTCCTTTGTGGAACTCAGGCAGAAACTATGTAATAGTTTTTACCATTTTCTGATAGTTAAGCAGATATTGGGTGGTCATAAGTAAGGTCATATAAAGTTGAGTCATAATTAGAAGAAATACATGAGCTGAATAAGAGGCATTGTGTATTTGGCAAAATAAAAGGAGGTGTTCAGTTCAGCACTATAGATGATGCTTCTTCATCCAATGATGCTAGAGGTCAAGATTCCCTTCTGTATGATGATTTGCTGGATTGTTATTTACTTCTTCTTCTGGGTTTTGAATCCTATTATGTGTTCTAGCCATGCTCACCTTGTTTTAGTTTCTCCAATGTAAGTTTCCTTCTATTTAGAACTTTCTTTTCTATTTTACTTTATTTATCCTTTATACATGTAGTAAATGATCACTTAGGGAAGCTTTTCTTGTATCATGTAGACTAGGTTAGGCAACCCATGATGTGTTTTTCTGGCACCTGTATTTTTTTTTGTTCCTTCCCAGCATCAAAATTACAATTAGACAATTTAATTGTCTGCTTCACAGTCTGCTAGATTGTATGCCCTCTGAAAGCAGGGCAGTATTGCTCTGATCTTAGCAATGTTCTTGATGTTTCATTAATATCACACATGTATTTGTTCAAAGGAATGATCATGAAAGGGTGTGTGAACTTGGGAATACATCAAGAAAGGCCATGTACTTGCTCTTTTATCTGCATGGGCCACATTTTCCAGATACTCTCACTGCTTGGTTTCATTCTTCATTTAAGTCACTACACAAATATCACCTGCTCAGAGAAGCCTTCTCTGGTAAGGTTTGTGAAATAATCTTTGTCATATGCTTCTTTATTTTCCTTATTAGGTTTCATTAACTAACACATCTTCATTTTTGGATGGGAAA